GTTCAAAGCTGGACTATCCAATGGGATTAAAATATATATGCACACTGACAGTGCATCACTATATTTTAAGTCTCCAAGTAATTTTATCTCTGTAAGTTTATAATTCAATCCAGAAATCTTTGAGCAAATATTTTATTGGGGGAAACTTGAACAGTCCATAGCTCTACTTAGTTTTGTACACCCTTTCACTTGTGTTGAGGGTCACCATCATAACTAAATGTAGTTGGGAAGAAAAATCAGGTCTCAATGTAATTTACATGAAACTTGCAAGGGTATTTGACTTACTTGTCAGCAGTTGTGTTTTGATGTGTTGACACCTTATCACTATTCTATTCAATTATTTTAATGCCAGGAGCTAGGAAAGGTGAGATAATCATGTTTTTCTTTCACCTTCCATTCCTTTTTGTGTCTGTGTGAAGAGTTTCTTACCCATGCCATAACTGGCTTTTTTCCAGATCCTGTTTTCTTCCTTTAGAATTTTTTCCATTTATTTTCATGCTAGTGTTTTTATTTTTCATAGACACACAGTCTTAAAACACCAAAAACAATTACACTATTTGTATCAGAGCTTTAAGTGACTTTCCCTTTGCTACTATAAAAAGTCCTGGGCTGTGAGAGAGCTAAACATGTGTTTCATCACCGGTTTTTTTTTTTTTTTTCTCCGGAATCCGGAACCACACTCACAACCTTGTGCTTGCCAGGCAGGCACTTTGCCACTGAGCTAAATCCCCAGCCCATCATCACCGGTTCTGATCAGTGAGGCTGATAAATGACCGTGACCTTTAGTTGCCCACCCCTTCCCATGTGCTGCACCTTTGCTGGACCTAAGACAAGACTCCTTGCATCCTAAACTGTTCAAGGCGCACAGGGGAGTAAGACCACCTGAGAACGCTCATACGGGCAACCATGGCAGTTTATTTTATTCACTCCCATGAGAGAGGGCTGAGTTTGGAGCAGAATCAGCCACAAGTTAGAGCAGAACAAAGGATTTAAAGGGAGAAGAGGAGCTTGCTGCCCTGAGGAATTTGGGGACAGAGACGGTGTGTTGTGCTTCCCCGAAAGGCCAGGGCAGATGCCAGTGTGGTCATGTGGCTTGGGATAGACGGTGCAGATGGACACAGCTTTGTTCTTCTGTGGGTTCCTGTTGTGCCTGCTGGTAACACCTCACCTGTCGGGTGTGACATTCCTCTGTGTGCCAGACCCTTGCTGGACCTAAGAGAAGACTCCTTGCTGCCTAAACAGCTGTCAGTCTTGTTTTAACCAACTGTGCACCGACCTAGGACAAGCCTGTCTTGCACGATAGACTCTACTATGAAGTACCATCACCAGCTTCAGTTTTCCTTTCCAACGCTTAAACCCCTGATGTTCGCCCATCAGCAGACTCTTCGGTGCATTTATTTTTTCTGTAAGCCATTTGGTGCATTTATTTCCCTTGCTCTGGTGTTATCTTTTGCTGATGCTTAACTGAGTCTGTGACCTTGGTCAACTCCTTAACCTCCCTGAGCTGTGATGTCAGTGGAATGGGAAGAGGGGTAACATCACCTGGGGAAGTTTTGGGAAGTTTCTCGTGTGACTCTTCACAGATGATCAGATAAAGCTTGATTTCCTTCTTTTGCCTTTTCACAGATGAAAATGATATTTGGCATCCAGTAGGCACTCCCTGAATCTTGGTAGAATGGTAAATAAGTGTTTTCATCACTTCCTGAAATAGACTGCGATTCTGTAGATCGTACCTGTAATTTGGTTTCCTGAAATATTTTCCTGGGATTCCAGAATTCCAACTTAATTCTCATGCTGTATTTTTTAAATTTAATTTTACTTTACTTTTTTTTTTACTTTTATGTTATATCATAACTTAATACCTGAGCCTAGATTTTTGCTGTTATTTCCTGAACAACTTATAAATGTTTACAAGAAGTGCAATTTAATAAGAAAAGCTCAAGGTAGAGCTTTATCTGCTTATTAACATCTTATTAACTCTCCTGGTATTAAATTAAAACATAGAGAAAAGTTTAAGTGAACTTACAAGGTTAACATTCTGAACTCCTTACATCAATGCCAACTTTTAATGAGAGGTGCCAGTTAATACACATTCCAAGCATTACTTAAAAGAAGATTTGCCTTGACTTTGATTTGAAAATTAAATTTCTTTGGGAAGTTAGCATTGTAAATGTTGACAATCATGAGAGAATTTTCAGATAGGGTTTTAGGAATCAAGTGTGGTTTTTTTCCTTGTGTTGTCTCTACTTTTCAGAAGTAGAGCCATGAACTCATAGACCTTGAGAACATTTTCCATCTCCATAATACTCATGATAATTCTCAGCTTACATGTTGTAATTTGTATGTTTAAGTGAGGCATTATGGGATTGTAAAGATGTATCATTTAGGAAATTCCCCGAGGGTGAGCCTTTTTCTAGGGCTCTGGAATTGGGCTCTCAGGTCAAATGCACTTTGGCCATATCACACAGATGGACATCAGTAGAAAATCCCACCTCCATGACCAGAGGGGGCCTCCATGTAGTCCCTGCCACTATCAGAGTTTTGCATCTCGTGTTTGCAACGGACAAGGGGAAACCATCACAGAGAAACAATAAGGCGTGTGTTGTTGTGTTGTTATTGTTTCTAAGTTCCTGTAAATCAGTGACTTTCTGAGTCTTTTGGATACCGTTATAACTGAGAAGCTAAACAGGTTTCACTCAAATGGGGGCCTGACTTGCCGGTGATTCTCAGGCATAGGACCAGGGTTCTGTCTCTCCCTCCCCATTGTGAATTACTGCTACACAGTGCCACGTCATCCAAGGCACATTTCTTGCACCTGATATCAGGCATGCATCTCATCACGGGAATTACATTCCACCCTGTTATTTTGAATGACACTTTCTATGGGCCTGACACATTGATGGTCAAAAGGACTTAGCAAAATCAGAGAAGTTTTAAGACTGTTCCTACCTTACAGTAATATAAATCCTATCAAAAGAAAAATAAAAACCTGAACATTAATATGCTCTTCTATAAGTATGTTGTATTCATATTAGAAGTGAGACAGGCCAGGAGGAGGTGTCATTCTTCTCCAAAGGGAATAGCTGCTGTCAACTGCAACAAATCATTTTGTCAGAGGAAGCTCTCTTTTGCCAGATCTTCCTGTTTTCAGATGAGATGTGCCTATGTCTACATGTTGATGACTTATTTGAGTATTTTTGAAACACTGCTGGCCAATCAATGCATTTGTATGTGCAACCTTTGACTACAGTGAGAGTTATATGAGAAGTCAGGGAAGAGGGGTTCTTCGCAGGTGCACCTTAGCATAAGCAAAGCCCACGTGCTGTGCTTCTTCCATCTCTGGTTATATGAAAGAAATGCCTCTATATTCTTATAATTGACTATCACATATCACCAGGAAAGAAGGCTTTAAGCATAAAATTCAGCCACCCATTTTTGTGTAATTGAGACTTCTCATAAAGCATTTTTACCGTCTGGGTAGAATATTAACTCATCAATAAACTTACCATCTATTTTTCTTCTCTCAAGGCACAGCTGTGGTAATTGTTAGAGCACACATTTATCCAGTTTACCCCACCACCCTATGCTTGGTAGTCAGGCAGTTAAATATGGCCTAGAGAAGCATGCTGCTTGGTGTGACAGCATTCAGAATTCTGTAAATAAATCTCTTGTCTTGCATAGCCTGTTAATATTTCAGGATTTTCATGTGTCATGTCATTGTGGGCCAGTACTTTAAGACACAATTAGTAATTATAAATTCCATGAAACTGAAAATGGAGCACATTGATGCAGAGTCAAAATAGGTTCAGTCTTGTGTGGATGGTTTGAAGTACTCTATCCTACCTTCGGCTGTGGAGTTGATTCTCCATTAACAGTGCTCTCTCCTCAGGTTTTGTGTGGTTCCAGGTCTCAGCCTCATACCTGCGTTCCCTCTGAACATTCCTAGCTTGAGGTATACTGATTCTACCCACCTGGCTCTTCCTTCTCACCTCCTTGCCTCACCCTCCACGTTCCACTGTGCACTCTCCAGAGGCACGCCTTTCCATCCTGGTTCCTCAAGCCTTAGCTTTTAGGCTAGATGAAGCTCTCAGTGAGGAAATATGGGGCAGGGGCTTCATGTCCACGAACATGGAGTTAAATTCCAAGTCACACAATTTAGATCCACACACCTGGTTTTGATTCCCATCCTAAATGCACCCCAGCTATATGACTTTAGCTAAGTTACTCAATCTCCCTGAATCCATTTCTTCACCCAGAAAGGTGATAAGAAGACATTCTTTGCACTAGAAAGTATTGGTAGTAAGAAAACCCTTACGAAGACCCTGATAGAGTGCCTGGCACATAACGGGCGTGACATTTAGTAGCGTCTCTCTCCTGCACCCTCTTAGTCACTCCTCACAGCGTTCCTTTCCGTCCGTACTCTGTGTACCCATGTACCTCTCTACTCTCTAAATCCAACCGTGTATCTCAGGCTTGACGTACCATTACAGATGCATGTGAAAAGAGCCAGACTGTAACATACAGTATATCTGCGCCTTCATAGACCTGGGACCATGAGCAAGTTTCTTGGGTTACCCTTGTCTGTAAAGTGTGGGCATAGGGGAGAAAATGCACTAAGAAGATTAAATGAGCAGGCATATGTCAACACCTAAAACACTGCCAAACATGGTAAATGTTCAAGTGTTGAATAAGTCTAAACCACTGTGGAGATGTTATAAAAGGTTTCAAGCAGAGTTTAGGCAGAGTGATGCAGCCTGAACCAAGGAGAGTACTAGAAAATCAGTACTTGCGGTAAAGGTCAAAGTTGAAATGGAGCATTTTTGTTAAGCTGGAGATATGACATTTTTATAGCACAGGAATGTAGCGATTTGAAAAATATAAAGTACTTGGCTAAACCTAAAATTTTTATTCATTTCCACCATACTGTCAGTTTCTGTATACATTACTGTCCAACTGGCTGGTGCCTTAACTAAAAATAGTTCCAAGGGCCCAGCCTGTGCTCAGAGCATCCTTCTTCATAGTTCTCCTCTGCTTCTCTGTGAGGGGACAGGCAGCTTTTCCAAGATGTCCCACAGGACTGCAATAGAGGGGTGTGCACAGTGTCCCTGGCCCAGCAACCCTAGGCCAGAGGTAGACGAACGTTTTCTGTAAAGAACCAGAAAGGAAAAGGTTTTGGTTTTGTGGGCCACATGCAGTCCCTGTAGCATCTTCTTCTTTGTTGATGTTTTGAGTAACTGTTTGAAAATGTAGAAGCCATTCTCAAAGGAAAATGGACCACAGGTCAGAACGAACCCATAGTCCATGATTCCAGGACTCCTGCTTTAGACGGGGCCTCGAGGCACCAATGCCTTTCTTAGGGAAAAGGAAAAGCACCCTCACCTCTTTTATGTTGAAACATTGAGTTAGTTCCTTTGCTTCTGTGATACAACTGTATGTTCTTGTTGGATTTTTAGTCCTTTTATAGTGAGACCTCGTCACACTGCTATTTCCCATTGGGAGCTGATGAGGAGCAGTTTAAAGCAGATGGAGCACAGACTGTAGAAATGAAAAACACAGAAGAAAAAGCTGTGTGAAAGAAATATTTAATCATAACATGAAAAACTCCTAGTGGCAACTTTTCCATTATGTTAAATTTCACTCATTTCTATGCATTCTAAGCATGTGTTTAAAAACAAAGGTTGCAATTTCCCATCTCCGTGCCCATCAACCATGGGTTTTTGATTTTGTCTTTTACAGGACTATGACTTGAGCCAGCTCCAGCAGCCTGATACCGTGGAGCCTGATGCCATCAAGCCTGTAGGGATCCGGCGGCTGGATGAGAGACCCATTCACGCTGAGCCGCAGTATCCAGTTCGATCTGCAGCCCCACACCCTGGAGACATTGGGGACTTCATTAATGAGGTGCACAGAGGAGCTTACTTTCTTTATGAGGTCTTTTATTTTATGTTGAAGGTTAGATCCATGTGGGTCACAGGTGCTTGGAATATAGCTATGCAGTTCACTAAAATGTACTTCTTCTCCTTAAGTTCATCTTTACATTGAAGGCAAATATGCCTTCATTAAGAGAGAACATATTTAATTGCTTTGGTAAGCTCAAAAGAGATCTGGCAATGCATTTCTGCATTTGTGAAATGGCGTTAACCATATATTATCAGTATTAGTCATGCTTTCTACAAGAAGGATTTTTCTCCCAGCCTACGAGTAATAAGTAGACTAACAATGTTATACTGCAATCTAATTTCATTTATTAGCACTGATAAATGAAACAATAATAGTTCCTTTTATTTTTTCCCCACACTGTACCCTTTAAATTCCACACATGGGGAGAATTCAGTGCCTACCCAAGGACTCCATCAAAGGAGATTAGTTAAAAGAGCGGCTAAATTAAATATTATGTAAGTGATTTAAATACTTGCCTAGTTGAGGAGTTTTAAGAGCTTTGGTAAGAGGGAGCTAATTCTCTGTTGAATATAACAGATATGATTTTCACTGTCAAAAAATTACTATGGAATTCTTTTATTTCATTACTGCATTTAATGATTTATACTGCATTTTATGTTTTCACTGTTACTCTCTTTCTGAATTTTTATTGTTGGTAGAAGACAGTGCTGTATATTGACTGTATTTTGTAGTTCTGTTCTCCGGCCATACCGTCAGTATCTCTAAGACCAGAATTGGTCTCCCTGCATTACCAAGATGGGGTTCACCTGTTACACATGGCCTTTGGTCATATACCAAAAGCCCTCTTTTTTCTGGGCTTCTTTGAAATAGTTGTAAAATATGTAAATATCATCAATCTACTGTGGGTTTTTTGGGATACATTCTTAGCTTGTAGGAAATTTTTTGAAACAAATTGGTTTATGTATCGACCTCTACAACTATCCATTACTGTCTATTACTAGATGATAGGTTACTTTGTGAACATATGTATTCACTTCTGTCAAGTAGGTAATAGGTTAATTTATAGCAGACTTCAATTAAAAGCAGATGGCAGATAAAAAAAAACTACAGAGTGGCAGTGGCTCCTTTTTCTACAAAAATATGCCCTCACTTTTCCATCTCTTATTTAAGGCATTTATATATAGTATTAGATTTTATAGTATAAGGAAGAGTACTGCAGGATTTCACTTCTGATTTACTGTTCACTGTTATAAGAAATTGTTGTTCAGTTATTCTGTGGGCTATTCAGTCTGAAGATATAGTGGATCTAATGACTGTAGGACCTGGACAGTTTGAAAGCAAGAATTCTGGCTGAGTATAATTCAACAAATACTTATTGCATGCTTCTGCTGGTCCCTAAAGTGTCTGTATTCCATAGGATTGAATCTCACCTCTGATACTCTCCTTGGTGATAACAATCAAGCACACAACAATTTATAGAGCTGTTTATAATCTTCCTCCTGCCCCTCTTCTCCCTCACTGCATTCCCTTCTTGTGCTGTAGCCCTAATGGGCTGTTTGCAGTTTCCCCCAAAGCATCACACTTTTAACAGACAGTAGCTTTCACAGAGCCCATACTTTCTTGAGGATCTGCAGCACTCCTCTTAGCTGGGAGGACCCAGCACAAACATCCCTTCTGCGGGAAACCCTCCTTGATACCTCAGAGAAGGGCCAAGAGACACTTCCTTTGCTCTAACCCTCACCGAATGGGGTGTAACTCAGTATTTCTCCTACTGGAACATGTGAGTTTTCTCCAGGATAAGGACTGTTGCTTGTTCATGTTTTTATATCCTCATCAGCGAGTATATTGCCAAGCTCTTAGATTCGGTTGCTTTCAGGGACTTAAGTACTGTGGCAGGTATGTAGGGCACAAAGCTATGGGCACTGCCAAGTTTTCATTTGATTAAAATTCAGCAGAGACCAAGTCTGGAGCCTTTCACTCTACGAGCACTGATTACATTTAGTAAACACGGATATTTGTTATTCTAAATATGTATTTCTAGCGTGTGCTTTCCCTGTGTGTGTATCTACGTGTGTTCATTGATTTTTCCAGGGACTGCATTTTCTGCAGTAGATAGAAAGGAGCATCTCCTTAATAAGGTTCAGTTACCCAGCCTTTTGAATGCCACAGGAGCAAGATGCAAAGTAGCATTTACCATTTGAAATTTCCTTTCTCTGAAACATTGCTTAGGTGAGCTAGTTAAAAGATGGCTTGCATCCATAACAAACATGTGTGATTAGTTATGTGACATACTTTCTTCCAAAGGATTGACTGCAAATTAACTTCAAGAATACATTCAGTTCATAATTAGAGGGTTTTATGCATGTTTTAAAAACAGTTCATTTTGAAACCATCTTAAGCTTGGCTTAGGATCACCCATTCAGCAGATCTCTATTGAGTGTCTGCTCTTTATAATATAACTAAACCAGTAATATATGGATAAAAAGTAAATTACCCATAGATTCTCCTTCTGTGTGTGTTCCTTACTTTGCTACAGCCCAAGCTTTGTGCAGATGGTCCCAGATTTACCATCACTCCACTTACAATTTTTCAGCTTTACAATAGTGCGAAAATGATAGTGTTCAACAGAAAGCATTCTTCAAAGTTTGAACTTGGGTCTTTTCCCAAGCTAGCCGTATGCAGTACGATAGTCTTTTGCATGTCGGTCAGCAGCAAGAGCCATAGCTCCCAGTTAGCCAAATGATCAAGGGGGAGAACAACCAAGACTGAACTTCGCGTTGTGTTGCTGGGCTACAGTATGTAGCCATTTAGGTGTACCGAATGAATTTTTGACTGAACGAATTTTTGACTTATGATATTTCCAGATTACAGTGGGTTTATCAGGAGGCCGCCCCATCCTAAGTCAAGGGGCAGCTGCACAGTAGTTGCCAAGCGCACAGGAGGTCTGCGGTGTCCAGTTCTTACCTGGCTTTGCAGCTGCATTTCAGGTTCTTCCCCAGCCTCCGTCTTCTGTTTGTTACTCACATTCTCAGCTTCAAACCCTGTGTTGTTCTTCCTGCCTCAAATTCACCCTCTCCCTTTGCTAGAAGTTAGTTTCCTTGTGAAGCTTGTGCTGGGCCAAGAAGGACTGCCCACCCCGAGTATGGGTCGGGTGCCATCGGTGACGTTCTTATCTTACCTGGAACTCAGGGAGAATTCAGGGAGACGAAAACTGTCACAACTCCAAAAACCTCAGGTAGTTCTTCCATGGAGGTGCCCATTACAGCTTGCTCAGTGTCTTCATTAACCTGACAGAAAAAAAATGAATACATATAAAGTTCTTACATAGTGAAAGGCACCTAGCAGGAACCCAAGTGTATTTGTAAAAGCATTGAAAATGCACACAAATTTATTTATCTCCAGGTCTTATTTGATTTAGCAGAGTACTGAATGTTCCAAAGGAAAGATAATATGGTGGTGATTATAATTGGAGTGCTTTTATGGGTGTACGGAGTAGGAAAGAGCATGAGAACACTTTCTGGTTTGTTTATTTAAATAATGCACGAATGTTGCTTTGAATCTCAAAAATGATAACTTATTTCCACTCAGGTAGGTACAGTAAAACAAGTCACATGCCTTTGAATTTCAGTTGCAGAATTTCATTCTGTTTGGGGTTTTCATACATGACCTTCAGAGGGTGAGAAGTTGAAACAAATTACTTTAATCTCCGCCGACAGTAAATACCAGCATACTTCCGACAACTTTATTCATCCTGTGTATTTCTTTACCTCTGAAGAATAAAAGTCAAGTGCATCCTTCATTTTAAAAGCTGACTGTTGATTTGCACAATTTAAAATGTGTATGTAAGGCTCTACTAGAATAACTTGCCTAAAACTAGTAGAGTTCAATTCTTTGCCTTTCTCTTATTAATTGTATGTAATTTGCCTTTAAAATATCTCATTCCATTCTTCGAGGAGTAGGGTGATTGTTTAAATTCAAATCCACCTCATCTAATATTTCTGTTACCTTGTGCAAGGTCAAGGTCCTTGAGTTTTATTTGTTGGATTTCCTACTACTTTATTTCCAAGATGGTAATAATAACAGAGCCTTCTTTTAAGATTGCAGCAGTACCTTAACAATTTCATCTATGTGAAATAGTTGGTGTAATACCTGTAATGTGGTAAAATCTCTTAATTATTAGAAGTGTCATATGAATAATTATTATAGGTAAATTATCTTTTAGGAGTTAAAAACTTCATACTGTCCTCTAATTTTTAAATAAAAATAACATTTTCCAAAACATACTGTAAGCAAAGTAAAATTCTCCAAGAGGGATAATGGGCTTAACAAGTCATAAAATTCCACTGTAATATAAACATGATATGCTTTTATGTCCACAAATAGTTTAAGCCTAGGTCCTGGCTTCTTCTGAAGAGAACAGATGTGAACACAAAGTAGATGCTGAGAAGCAAATACTAAACCCAGGACAGCACTGGAAAGTCACCTTGCAGAGTGGCTGCCAGACGTCACGCAGTGTTGGGAAGAAGGATCTGAGTACAAAATAGCTTGTGCCCAAAGTCATGTGACAATCTAATACAAGTATGGTGATAAACTAAGGGACAGCAGTTATAGCAATGACTCCCAGTCATGGTTAGGGAAAAAAAATCACATTTCAATGAGCTGTTGGATGGAGGGGTGAATGGATGGATGGATGATGGATGGATGATAGATATCAATCAGATGAAAAAATGAAAAGAAACATTTCAAACAAAGTGAATCGTATTTCAGTTGCAAAGATGTTTCCAAATAACAAGATGGTACACAAGAACGGAATATTTTCAGATTTGGGATAAAGGGGTATAATTCTTCTGGTTGCTGGGTTTTTCAACAGCCAGTAGTGAAGAGAATGAACAGACTAAGGTCACTGAATGGCCATCTAAAGAGTTTGATCTTATCCTACACTAAAGGTTGCCTAAGCATCAAGCATTTGAACAAAAGCCTTATGGTTTGACCTACCTCTGCATATCTCTTCTATTAAACTTCATCAGCTTTAAACTTAACGATGCACCAATTAAAACGATTTTGCAAACCTCTGGGGACAAGGCTTCCTATGTGGCAAAGGCGTTTTTTGTCTTGTAAAGCTTTCAGAGGGCATAATATGACCATGTGAAAGAGAAACCCATAGTAGTTTGTAGGAAAGAAGCAGAACAGTACCGAAAACCTGAAGACACGTTTTTTGCTCTGGTTCATGCTGGAGGTAATGAGGACCTAAGCCAAAGCAGTGATACTGAAACTATAGAAGGCAGAATGTAACAGGATCAATAGACTGTTCTTTATGTATCCTTCATGTGTTCCTCAGCGAAGAATGTGGGTTTTTATAATCCTCATAAAAGGGTGTCTCCATCTGTAAAGCATAAGATCAGAGGTCTATAAATACAAGCTCCACAAGAATTCAGCTTTGGCTTTTTCACTTTGCAGAAGAGCCTCAAACTGCAGAAAAATTATCTGGATAAATTTATCCAGAGTTCAAGGTCTACCTCTCCAGGAAAGGTGAAAGGAGCATACTTTGCTAAATTTAGTCAGAACTAGAGCAGTGTATGCAGTCAGTTTGTGAAAAACGTCCACATGCAACGGTGAAGGAATCTCATTAGGGCGAAGCAGAAGGTCCAATGGCCCTCAGGTTTATTCTGCACTCTCCTTCTGACTGTACATTTGACATTGTCAGTTTCCCGGGACTTGCCTGGGATCATTTTAGAATTGCAAAAATATTACCTAGAATTCAAAAGAGTCATATTTTATTCTCAGGTAAAAGTCAGTGCTATCCAAGTGGAAGTATTTAACCTCCTGCTTAGAAAGATGCTTGCCTAAGAATGCTTGAAAAGTTCAGTCGTTTTGCCCTTTTTCTAAGTATTAAGCACCAAGACAATGTGCCATGCTCTACCATATGCAGTCTGTGGCCTGAAACTCTTTTTATTAGAACAGAAATAAAGAAGATAAAGATTCAAAAACAACCAACACAATCAAAAAAACAATGCAACAGTTTTAAAAAGAAAAAGAAACATCATCAGGAGAAAGAGAATGTTTTTAAAGATCTGAACAGTGGGAATGGGAGTAGATTAACTCTGCATGCTATATTTATTTTGAGGAGATGAATTAGGTGGCTTAGGCAGGGGTCAAAGAGTTGTGGGCCCTTTACTGCACTAGTGCCATCCAGACAGCTTCTAGAGTTTATTCTCTGGACACAGTTAACACAAACATAGGTCATTGTCTTCCCTCCACTGAATCCAATCACAGTTGAGGCCCTGCCATTGATATTTTTTGCTTGTTTGTTTGTCTGTGACAAAATCTCACTAAATTGTGTGGGCTGCTTTCAAACTTGCTATCCTGTGCCTCAGCCTCCCAGAATTCTGCTGAGACATAATGATTGGGCAATGTTCTACATATATATTCACTTAAAAAATGAATTGTAAAAAAGCTCATAGCCTGAACACAGAGCTGTAGGGATCCATTTTCCTTATCAGGAATCTCCCTGATTCTTCTTGATTTTCCTTCAGATTCTTCTTGAGTCCAGTTCTTGCATAGAATTAAGTAGAAAGGTGCTGAACAAAAGATATTACTTACTACTTATATTTGCAGTTGCTAGAGTTTGTAGGAAAATGAAAGGGGCTGATGTGAATGTAAACTGCAGAAGGAAAGACAGACGGATCCACCTTATTAAAAACCATGTGTTCTCCACTAAGCACAGTAAGTTGCAGTTCATAGATGCTCGATCAGTATGCCTTGAAGTGAATAAATAAATGCAAACAAAATGAGTGAAGTTGTATTCTTGGCTTTTGCTATCTCAAGCTATATAACTAGTCATCCCCAAGTCCTGTCTGCTCACAGAAGCAAAGGTTTACTTCTTCAAGTTGGGGGTCAGTTGTAGTCTGTCAGTGGCTGAGTTTTTGTCTATATGTCTCCTTGATCCAAAGATCCAGATGGAAGTAAAATCCCCATGTGGGGCAGCCGTTCTCCTGGGGAACAGGAGTGGAGAAGGAGCTGGCAGAAACATATGAGAGTTTTAATGTGACTGTTCCACACTGCTGCTCACATTTCACCAGTCCCGTAAGCAAACCCGACAGTGGGGCAGAGGGAGCAAACCAACTCCAGAGAGGCACTTGTGGTGGCGTGGGCGTATAAAACCCCTACGGAACAAGGCTAAAGGGCCACTAAGGATAGCAACACAGCCAACCACAGAAGGGAGTTACGAATGCTGAGAAATTGTAGGTTGTGGTGGGTCTCAGCCTCAGAACTGCCTGGTAGCTTATCCTAAAAATAAGATAAGGACAAATCTTTATCTAAAATTATTTATGCTTTATGTATTGAAGTAGTTTGCCAAAGACTTGCTTTATTTTATTTAACTGCCTTGTCTGAAATGAAAATAGGATAGCCTGACATGTGGAAAAGTGCTTAATTAAGCAGTTAGAATTGTGGGTAGAGACACTGGAGAAGGGAAAATTGGTAGTCCTGTATGTTTTGGATTTTTTTTATTCTTGTTTTTTATTTAAGTCCAACAGCTGACATTTTCTTTCTTAAAATAATGTGTTCACTTTTTTTTTTTCAAATTTCAAAGCAAGAAGTTTTTCTTTGAGCTGTAAGAAGTTTTAATAACTGATACTCTGAGCCTCCCATATGCCAAACATGATGGTGAGATGTCCAGTCCCTTTCCTTATGTGATCCTACAATAATCTCATTTTTATCACAGTGTGAGAGTGGTAGCAGTGTGCGTGGTGATGTGAGGGTGCTAAAGTCCAGTAGCTAATACTATGGATCGGTTAGGTGTCAGCTGAGATCTGCTCTCTTCAGTACCACACATGACATTCCTACTCTGACCTTAATTTCCATGCCCTTTTTCTTTCCTCCTCTTCTGTAAGCCTGACAGAACAGACAAACACATGCTCATTTAAAAAATTCACATGCAGTAGATAGTCTCATAAAATACATGTGGATTGGAAGGACCGATTTCTGAAGGAAGACAGTCTGTACCTCTTGGATAAGTGAGGCCATCATAAGCCCAGGAACATTTGAGAAGCAAAGTCACAAAAAGAGAATGATTGCTTGCAGAAGGATGTACATCTTGGAGTACTGAAGTGGAGTTGAGAAAATAATAGAGAGAAGTCCAAAAAGACCTAGTATTAAGCCCTTAAAAGTTTTATAGTCCATAGTTACCTACTACTGCAGATTAAATTATGTATTAAAAAGCACCTATTTGTAAGAGTTAAAATATAGATGGCGTTTCTTATTTTCTTAAAATTTTAAGAGATGAATATGTATGTTACTTTAACAAGAGCCCTTTCTTCAACATTTGTAGTCTGTATAGAAATTGACTCGTGGTTATTTTAGTGTGCATGTAAGCTGTAAAGTTACTATATATATATAAAAACCTGTTCACAATTCATCAATTAATTCCATATTTTAGGTTTCATTAATACATGGATGATTTAATAAGTAGCTTTCCCTATGTCGTAATGACATCTGGCCTGTCTTCACTCTTCCTTTCGTATCCTTCAAAATTAGGTCAAATACAACGCTATCTCCTCTAAGAATTTCTAGCTCTTTATGGTAGTCCACGTTTCTTAGCATACTGAACTGATGATTTCTGCTTAGACTTTAGAATTTTTTTTTAACTCATTTGTCCTTTGCAACATGTTAAAGGGATGCCTGTTAGACTACACTGTGAGCTGGGATAGAAGCAAATCCACCTGGCACTCCTATGTAGATCCTTCTCTTTGCCTTACATATGGTTCTTTTTCAGACTCTGACTTCAGCTCTGATTAGGATCCAAGTATCACATGATTTCATAGCCTTCTATATTACTTCATGTAACCACCATGAAATTACATATTCAGATTCCCAATGGACTACTATATAGTGCCATTATCGGACATACTGGCAAGAGTAGTAGTTACTCCACGTTTATTGAATGAGTAAATAAATTGACATTTTAGTTACCATGATATAATTTAGTTTGTATTTCATTGGGATATATTTTTTAATCTAGTAACCCTGCTGTACATATTCTGTTATTTAAGATCCTCTCTAATCAACTTCAAGCAGTCGGCTCTTCCTTTCTACCACCAGTCAGACACTCTCTCTAAATAACCCGCTCCTGTCTTATGACCTGGCCACCCTGAGCTAGATTCCTTAGTGTTATTTCTCTGCAGAGAAAAAGCATGTTAGTTTTCCTCTTAATTTTCAAACCATGGTAGCCTCCATTCCTGTGTGT